GAGATACACGGATGGATGGATGGAGAGAGAGAGAAAGAGAGAGAGAGAGAGAGAGAGAGAAAGTGTGAGAGAAAAAAAGAAAGCAAAAAGAAACTGGACTGGAGAAACATAAAATACGCAAAATAATTTTACCCACGGGCTGACGTATGTAGTGCTTGTTGTAGGTCGGAGACCACCGATCAGGCGGAATAAAAGCTCGATGAAATGGACGAAGGAACGCGAACCTTGTCGCTAGTTCTACCACGAAGCGGGACGACCGAGGCTACTGGACGACGCAGCAGCAAGCACTGTGCGTCAAAGCGCTCGTAGCGACGTGTTGTCGATAATGGTGGTGTTGCCGAGGCGCCTGTCTCTGTCGTTGCTGACCCGTCACCCTACCGCCTAACCTGGGCTATTGGTTCTCCAGCGAATAATGACGCGACCTCTTCCAGAAACCTTTGAAGAATCCTTTCTTCTTCGGCGCGTCGCCGCACTCGGCAGCTGAAACAAAAAGGTGACGCGGCTCTTTCCTCCATCTCTTTCACACACCTCTTTCACCCCTTCTTCGCACTATCTGCTATTTCGACAGACAGTTGAAATTCCAATTGTTTAATTTGCCAATTGTTTAATAATAAAACAAAATTGTCACCTGTCGTTCGACATATTAATCACGCGATGCAGCATGATCTATTACCTTATCTTTTTGTATTATCGAAATCTAGCAAGTGCGTATGAGCAAAGCTGCTGCTACTGGAGCGGCTACTGGCCAACTATACCACGTATTTTAGCCACGTTTTTACTCTCGCTACATGTTCATAGGGGAAGCGTTGGCAATTGTCTGTCGTCGCCTGCATAATAATCGACGGCCTTTCCGGCCTTTCCGGCCTTTCCTTCGAATCGACGACGGACGTTAAAGGCCGGCTACAGCTAGCCGCCGTACGATCATCACAACGCGATGCACGCCACGGCTGTGCATCTTCCTTCATTCTTCCCTCGCCACACCTACGCTCAGTTAAATCACTTGAGAAAAAAACTGATATTCGGAAAATACAAGTTGTTACACTTGTCCTGACAAATATCGATCGATATATCATGTTCTTTTCTTTCTTTTTTTTTTTTTTTTTCTTTCTTCTTCTTCTGTTGCGTCTGTAGAGTAGAAAAATAAGAAGAAGACACGGAGAATCGCGGGAAGAAGAAGAGGAGGCATGCCTGCGATGCCAGGAGCCGAAAGAAAGGGATAAAGCGAGCGAGAACGAGAGAAACGATGCGTATGGATCAATACCGATAGTGCGCGTAGTAGACGCAAATTGTTGGGTGTGTCTCGTAGTCTCATCTCTGTGTCTTACTCGACTCGACCCAAACCGTTCGAATGCAATAGAAATCTTTCTTGTCTTGCACGGCTGAGAAATAATGAAAAGGAATATCTTTTGACCTGTTCTGTCTCTCTGTTTAGACTGCCATAGGCATAACGGAACGGAACGAAACATTTTTGTTACGCGCCGAGTTCTTCTCTGTCCTTCGCTCTGTTTCTCTTGGTAAGAAGAGGTTTGGTTCTCCAAAAATAACCAAAGAGTATTAATAAAATCGCCGTTGGCTGTTCAAACTAGAGGCGAACATTGGTAAACTCTTGGTGGAAAGGGAATGGATATTTTGGAATGCCGTGTGTGTACCGGTTATGTTACGTGTGCAAAGGTATATATGCTTGTGATCACGCGCGCGCCTGATCTCCCTCTCCCTCCCCCTCTGTCCCCGATAATAAATTTAAAAAAATTTACAAGCAAATACAAAGGTAAAAGTAATACAGAGCATAATCGTATCGTATCGTGTGACACAGAAAAGGCAATTGACATTAATTTTACAACTACGATTGTACTTCGATGGTACGTTGCTGTCCAATCGAACGGGAATTTTGGAATATAATTTACAGAGCTATTTTTGCAGTTGTACGTAATTTGTTTCCAAAAATAATAACCAGGTCCTACTTATGAAGATTTTCAGACTTTTGAAATAGAGATATCTGACAAAGTATTTTTCACTTTTTAGATTGTCGCTAGAGGTGTCCGTTATTGAGAATGTCCGTTATTCTCGACCTCGTAAGAAGACAAAGGTTAGCGAGGATGTAAAATACGAACGTACCTGCGTAAGGGCCACACGGTGATGCATTGTCCTTCCCACCTTTGCCATCCTTGCTTCCGCTTCCTAAAACAGTCGAAAACAAATTTTCCTTTCAGCAAATGGACAACTATGTTGTTCCTATTGGAGTTCTTATTTCTTGTATTTACTGGCCGGCTTAATGAAAAAAATCACAGGCCACTATGCAAAGCTAGCGCGAGAAACAAATGCATTTAAAACACAATATAAAACGAGGGAAACGCGCGTATGCAGGACATACAAAATGGGTATCGAATGACTCGAATGACTCGAATGACGGCACCGTTTGGAGGTAATCCCCAAGTACGGCGCGTGTCTCTCTTGGAAATTGACCAAATAAAATCGAGCGGCTGCCACATGCCAGGTAAGAATAAAACGACGCAACAAGGACACACTCTGATCCTAGCATTTCTAGGTTGAAGCTGCCTTTGAGCAGATTACGTTAACATCGAGAAAGCGATACTTGACTAACCATCCAACTTGTCACAGGTATATTTCTATTATACCTACACACATACATATATGGACTTTTATCAATACTCAGATATTATCGAGTCAATTTATCAAGACAATTATTCTAGCTAATAGAAACATAAATTTTATTTATTTATTTAATGTACGTAGTACATTTCTGCGTAGCACAAGCAACAAATCAGACAGACAATGGTGAAATTTACAAAATTAAACTTTGCTCTATGTATAATATTACGAATGAAATTGAGACACATATCGGGCAAATATTTCTAATTCTGTCGGATAGACTTGTCTCTTCTCACGTCATTACTTGTGCGTATATTATGCAAAGTGTTCCCTTCAAGTGTTACACAATGAAACTCTGAATAAAAAATAAAATAAGCGAATAAACGACACGAAGAGGATAAGAATGAAGAAGAAGAAGAGAGACAACGAGCTAATGAAAAGTTACGCCAGTTTGTGAATCGACCAAAAACAGACTGAGAAATTAAAATGCAACGGACGAAGTAGCGCAAACAAACGTACGTTAGGCGATACTTTGATAAGACAGAGCTGTATATACATTTCCGCTTAAAAGAATGATAACAGCAAATTTAACTAATCTAGATGTTAATTAAAGTTAATTAAAGTTTCAATATATATCATAAAGGAATAACATCAAGTGAATAAAATATTTATTAATAAAACATGCTCCAAATTTTTCAGCGGGAGTCACACG